CTTCATAGTGATATTATTATGATATGGTTGTAGCATAATTATGATGCATTTTATGCAAGGTAAGTCTCTGCGGGGTCATTGGGAAATTTAAAATGTGTTGAATAGGATTATCCTATTTGTATACATGTATCATTTTTGTATCTGAACTTATAAATATTGACTGTCTCTGTATTTCAAATGTAGTTACACCTAGGTAATGCCCACTAGACAAGATGCTTTCAGTCTAGATAGCTGGTTGGGAAGGGCCTATTCAGGGCAATGAGTCATTAGGGAGAACAATAGGCCTTAGGAGAAGCTTATCTTCCACCTGGTGAGCCTTCCTGAGAAGGCTACCAACAGCCTGAGTGATGGCTGGTATGACTCTACGAGGACATGTGACCAGGCCACATGATGCTGGGCTCCATCTTGAGATGTCAGTATTTTTCCACAAACTGGTCTGGGAACCAAGTTTTGGAACAAAGGGTTCCTGCCATTCATAAGAGTTATATAAGGCAGGCAGTGACATCATCACCTGTGGTTTTTCATTCCCCACACAAGACGACTCCTGAAAACACCTGAGGAACAAAGACTGAACTGGAGGGAATGCTGGACCCAGGCTACAGGGATTTCTAGCCTGTGTGTAAAGACCTGAGAAGCCCAAGCTGTAAAGCTAATGCAGCTTGTGCTTTAAGAATCTGCTGCCTGTTTGTATCCTCTCTTAGGGTGAGAATCTGCTAATTTGTATCCAATCTATCAAGTATATTAAGCTTAGTTTGCATTTTTTTTTGTTTATTTGCTAGGTAATCTGCCTTAATCTGTTTGCTATCACTTAATCTATCTTTTGTAGTTAATAAACTTGTTTTTGTTTTAATCTAAACCAATGAGCTTTGACTAGAGTGGTTGGGGAAAATCTCTCCTTGGTTATAAGTGTGCATTGTTCTCTTCACATTGAGGAAGAGGCAGACCGGGTATTAAACCCATATACTGGCCAGATTTGACGAGGGCAGGACAGTACTGCTCTGAGGTCCCAGACTGGGAAGCTGGTGGTTAGAGAGCCTATGTGTAACTGCAGCTGGGTATAGGGTTACCATTCGTCTGGATTCCCCCGGACATGTCCGGATTTTTGAACTAAAAATAGCGTCCGGGGGGAATTTGTTAATGTCCGGACTTCCCTCCCTCCCCCCCGCCCCCCATGCA